AGATAGATAGATAGATAGATAGATAGATAGATAGATAGATAGATAGATAGATAGATAGATAGATAGATAGATAGATAGATAGATAGATAGATAGATAGATAGATAGATAGATAGATAGATCCTGCTTAGTTTCTTAAAGCAGATCAAACCACCACAATTCCACTGTTAGGTTGGTAGACCAAGTAAAACAGGTGAGTCTGTTGGTCCATGCCTCTGGACATCACCATCTCTGACCGGAGGCAGAGATTTGAGACAAGATTTGTTCTTAGTCCCGCCTGGAGATTCTCGGATTGTCTCGTGAGCCAAAGGGCTCTGCCGTCCATCTCTCGGGGTATTTCCTCCTAAAGGTTACATCTACAACGCAGGCAACAGCCGAGAGGCTTTTCACGCCAACACAATCACCATTTCTTCAACAGCAGGAGCATTTCGGGGTGAGAGGCGGGGGGTGGGGAGAGAGAGAGACCCTACCCAATTTTTTTCATGCAAGGCACAAGCTTTTCTGCATGAAAAAAAAAACACACTTCCACCGATCTGGTCCTGCGATGACCCCAGCTATATTCAGACAGAACAGAGAAGACTTATCGTGGAGTGGCTGATCCCACCAGTCCTTGCTTATCTGACAGTCCTGGCTTCGCCGATAAAAAGTTGGTTCTTGTCTCCAGCCAACTTTGGGGAAGTTTTTATCCTCTTTAGGGTTGTTTTCTCCCGACGCCGTATCCGGCCTGCTCCCTCTCTAGAACATCTCCCCTTCTCATAACCTTCGTCAATTTTACCCTCCATGCCCTCCCAAGCGGCTTCCCTGTAAAAGGTGACATTTTTCCAGCCTGACCTCATATGTGAAATACCATAACATGCTTAGGGTTTATAATCTAATATTTTCCTGGGCACAAGCCAGGAAGCCCAGAATGGTGAATATTTTTGTTGTCTTGGTTTGTTTCTGATTTCATTTCCTCCTCCTTCTGTTCCCCCTTTTAAAAATAAATTCCCTGGGCTATTTAAGGCAATTTTACTGGAAATGGTCAGTAATCAGAACAAAAGTTAAGGGCATCTCAGCCCTTCTTCCGTTGTCCCTCTGGCGAGCCCCAAAAGACGGACTCTCCCCCCAAGACTCACCCAAGTGGACCAAAGCTTCTTTATCCCAGGGGAAAGTGGCCATTCCGGCCAGTTCTTCTTCCGAGGAGTTAGCAAAGAAGATGTTGAGATGCGTGGAGCCATCCAATTTGAGCTTGTTCTTCAGCTCTTTGACGTCCAAGTACGCCCTGCAGCGCAAAAAGGGAAAGCATGGATGTGAAATGAAAGCACTCCCCCTCCAAAAAAAATGCAACAACAAGCTCTTCACTTCAACCTCTGTGTGGTTCATCAGAGGTGTCGGTCCCGCTTTCCGAGTTTTATCTTCTTCAGGAAGACCCCCTGAGACAAAAATACTGACCTGTAATTAACAGTGGAATGCTAAAAGGAAGGATATCTATGGAACATAGCATCACTCTGAACAACCCGTCCGATTTCAAAAATGGTTGAAGGTTGAGGTTGGCTAGGGATCGGACGGGAGATCACCCAAGATCTCCAGACAGGGCTAGGATGGGATGGTAAGAGGCACCTTGGGAAGCCATGGTTACCTATCGTGTTTTGGTTGGTGAAAGAGAGGGGAGCATTTCAGTTCAGTTCCTTTCGGGAGGGTTTACACAAATTTTCCCACTTCTTCATACCTAAGGGGGGGGAAACCTGGAAGTGAAAGAACAAATTAATGCAGGTGGAGGGGAAAAAAGAAAAATCGAAATGCGAGCGAAAGTTAAAAAGGAGAAGAAGGACGGGTTTCCCCCAGCAGTTTATTTCATTGCTTCTGCCGAGCCCAGACCCGTGTTTCTCCCTAATTGTCATTCTCAATGGTTAGTAGCAGCGGGGGCCAACGGGAGGGAGAAGAGGCTGCGGCATCAGGGTGGCTAATGGGAAGCAGCTCGCTCCCCCCCTGGAAGAGGACCCAGGCAAACCCTCCCTGGGTGCCTGTTGTTTTGCTGTCTACAAATGAGGCAGAGAATATTGGGGCCGTTTTCCCCACCCGGGCCCTGTTTTAGGTAGAATCGAAAACCCGACAAGTGCCTGCGGTGTAGTTTATGCAGCGGCTGTCTTAGAAACCAAGGGTTAAGCTGATGTCAAAACCCCTTTTACCGGCCCAAGGACGTTGACTGGCCGCGATTCTCTGGATGCCTCATTAGCAATGCAGACAAACACCTCATGGGAAAAGAGCAAGGGAATCAGATACTCAGCGCTCGGACGCAAGAAGCCTGTGCCTACGACAGGAGCTTCTCCGAGTCCGGGCAACGCTCTCCGAGAGCGGCTTCTTAACAAAGGAGGAGAAGCTGGTTGTCAACAAAAGAGAGAAGCGTTGGGCCAAGAAAGCAACAGAGCATCTATTGACTGAGGTGGAAGAGGGTGTTGGCCTCTGCACATTTGTCACTGTTTCTGTCCATTTCTTAGTATCTCGTGGCCAGTTCAGAGGTTGGGAGTTTGATTCCCCCCACCGGGGTCTCCTTGATACGGGCTGGACTCCATGATCCATGATCACCTCTTCACTTCTACAGTAAGGATTCCCTGGGATCCAGCCGTGTTGGTTGAAAGCAGGATCATACTGCTTCATAGAATCACAGAATGGTGACGTTGGAAGGGGCCTGAGAGGGCATCAAGCCCAACCCCCTGCTCAATGCAGGAATACCATCAAAGCAGACATCAAAGCAGATCTGCCAGGGGGTTGTCTAAATTTATCTCGAAGGCCTCCAGCGTTGGAGCACTCACCAACTCCCGAGGTCACTGGTTCCGCTGTCGTACTACTCTAACAGTTAGGAAGTTTTTCCTAATATTCAAGCAAAAACTGGCTTCAACTGTGTTGGGCAGACAAAACTCACCATCTCTTTCCGACCGGCATTTCATCACATTATTTTTATTTTATTTTTTTTAGCTCACACACAACCGAAAGAGCTCCAGGTAGGCTCAAGATGGATTGGTGTCCTGAATGGAAAGTGGCACCTCTAACTTACTCACCCGCTCATCTAAACTCAGGATCCAGTACAGAATGCAGCCTAATCACTGTCGGAGAACTACGGAGTCGTTCTAAGATTCTAAGATTGTTATTATATATGGAAGGAATAATCCTGGGCAAGGAAAAAAATAACCATCCAAATCATATAAAACCCTGGGTTAAAAGCTAAACTAGCAACTAAAATTACAGAGCTAAATGAATCTTCTCGCCATTTTTGTCCCTCCTCCCACAAGCCGGATTAATCTCAAAGCTGAGATTTCAAAACAATGAAGTTCTCTCCTCTCTCACAGATCAAAATTGAGATTCATCAGCTCTAAACACCATTCACCCAGTTCCATGACACCCTGACGCTCAGATGGTGGAAGAGGTTGACTCTAGTTTCGTGAGAGCCAAAGTATTCCCTCTGGGTTTCAGTCTGTACTTCCCAGGAGCTAACCATGGTACTGAAATCCCCACCCAAATTAGATTCCACAACTTGGAGAGCTCTTTTAAAGTTCAGAAGAAAACCCCGAACAGATCCGTCACTCTGCAAAAATCAAAGTCCCTGGCAGGTACTTGCTGTTGTGCCAGTGGCCTTATTAGCACAACTAGAATGTTAAAAATGAGTAACAATTGATAATAATTGCATGCCACCAAGTCAATTCTGACTTATGTGACTCCCGGGTTTTCCAGGTAGAGAGAAATCAGAAGTGATTTATTTGTCCTTACTTCGGGGGGGGGGGGGGGAGGGTGTCATCCTGCAACTGTGCAGCTTCCCCAAGGCTACCCAGGCTGGCTCTTCTCTCAGGAGGCCCAGAGCGGGAATCGAACTCCCAACCTCTGGCTCCACAGCCAGAGACCTAAACCGCTGAGCTATCCAGCCACTCAAAAAAAATTTACCGTATTTTTCGCACCATAAGACGCACTTTTTTCCAACAAAACAGGGGGGTGGAAAGTCTGCGCATCTTATGGAGCGAAGAAAACAGATTATATTTTCCTGTTTTCTTCTCCTAAAAAATTGGTGCGTCTTATGGAAAGGTGCGTCTTATGGAGCGAAAAATACGGGTAATGATAATAATAATGTGTAGGGAATTCACAAAGCCTCTTCAAATCATGGGTTAGATCCAGACATAGTTATACTTAAGAGGATTAATATCTGACAGTCACCGATATCAACGACTCACTTAAGTCCCATTGACTGTAACAAAACTAGTTTGAGTATATTTATATCTAGATCCAACCCAACATTGCAGAATAAGGATGGGAAGTTCTTTGTCTCCGTTTGATTGACATTTCCCCCCATCTGTAATTCAAAAAGGAGACAGCAAGAGACCGCAGCCCTCCAAAACAGAGGACCCCTCCATTGGAAACGATTGTGGGGGGAGAAGATCTTCACAGGCAGGATTCTGCTCATGTTTCTGATTACTCTCTACCTCTGTATTTAATCTCTACCTGATTACTCTCTACCTCTACATTTAATCTCTACCTGATTACTCTCTACCTCTGCATTTAATCTCTACTGGATTACTCTCTACCTCTGCATTTAATCTCTTCCTGATTACTCTCTACCTCTACATTTATATCTCACTTCTCCCCCTCCATTTTAGTCACCACCACCACCACCATCATCATCTTAAAACTGCAGGACTGGAAGGCATCCTAAGGATCATTGAGTTCTTCCAACACATGAAGTAAGTCTACCTCTGCATTTAATCTCTACTGGATTACTCTCTACCTCTGCATTTAATCTCTTCCTGATTACTCTCTACCTCTACATTTATATCTCACTTCTCCCCCTCCATTTTAGTCACCACCACCACCACCATCATCATCTTAAAACTGCAGGACTGGAAGGCATCCTAAGGATCATTGAGTTCTTCCAACACATGAAGTAAGTTAGAGCGAGATGGTCAGTGACAGGCCACCCAAGATCACCCCATGAATTCCGCCGCTTAATGGGGGAATTGAACCCAGGGCCCCTGAGCCCCAACTCTAACCTCAATGCCACTCCACCACCCTTCTTCCTGGCATTTCGGAGGCTACAGACTTCCTAGATCTTCACACTCATCAACGACTGTCCGCTTCTGTAACGGAACAAGCTGCTTATAATGCCAGGAGATGGGAGGCCGGAGAGAAATCCGAGCATATTTCTTCAGGCGCTATCGTCTCAATGGATTTCTGTCCCCGCCAAGGGGGAAAAGAAAACTTTGGAGACATCCACAGGGAAGGGGTGGGCTGGAACCTCACGGAGATGGGAAACCCAGAAACATCTCTTGGTTAAAGCCGGGAACTGCATCAGACCCACAAGCGTCTGCTTGCAAGGGGAGCAACCAGAGGGGAAATGAAGGAAGGGGCAGCCTTCAAATTTGGGCAGAAACTCCTCGAGGACAGGAAATAGCTGGCGTGTTTCTCCTCTCCCAGCCAGTGGCGTGTGTTTTGGCCGGCTCCACGTGGTCCTCTCATGAACCGCTTTGCTCTTCTGTGCCGCCGAGCCGGGTTCTTAGCATTCTTCGGGAGACGTCCGTCCCCAGGAGGAAGAGAAAGCGGATGGGGTTGGTGTGGGGCCAAGAGTTTCCAGTCCTTCCCTCAAGGGTTCCCCAGTGGAAAAAAAGCAGTCATCCCCGACCCCACCGGCTCTCTACAGACCTTTTGCTCACGTCGCTGGCTCCAAAATAGTTCCCGGCCGGGCGCCCACAACCCCCCAGTTCCGGTGAATCACAGAGCGAAAAGCCAGCTCCTCGGGGACCAAATGGTTGAAGGCTTTTGTTTCCATGATGGGGCACTGTTGACCTTGAGACCAGAGGTCAAGGAGATGTCACAGAGACATCCTGAAAGACGCAGTTCGATGACCGTCAAGGCGAATCCCATGTCCACCACCACCACCACTCCCTACAACCAGGGGACAATGCACGGCTCTCTGAAGTTCCATAGAAGGAAGAGTTCTCCTTCTATGGGAGAACGGCCAAAAGGAGAAGGATCTTCTTGAGAGTTCCTTCTGAAAAGTCTCCCCATGCTTTCTTCCACCTCCAAGACCTCGTCGTTGCCTGCAGAGAACATACAGAGCAACTACACCAACATCTCGGGGCCCCAGATGTCCTTGGCCTACAACTCCCAGAAATCCTGGCCAGCACTGCTAGTGCGGGAGGCTTCTGGGAGTTATTGTCCAAGCACATCTGGGGTCTCAAGGTTGGGAACTACAGGACTAGACAGTTAATTGGGATTCGCCAATATGATGAGACCTTAACA